GCGCCCCAAGCATGGGTTTTTAATGTTTGCATACACTCCTTGAGGGCAGACTTTCGGCCAGTTTTTCCTGGAGACCTCAGCACCTGGCACAGGTTCATGTACTTAGCGAGCACCTTCTCTATGTTAGGCGCTGCGATACGGTAGTAAATAAAGACAGGCGAGGCTCCTGCCCCATCACATTACAGTGATGGAGGGAAAACAAATACTGAGCCATTTGCTTTCAGAGCAAAGAGCTCTGTGAAAACGGAAGTGCAGGGTGCTTCAGGGGAGCATAACCTGGGGACCTGGCCTAGTCTCAGAGGTCAAAGGTTTCCCTAAGGAAGTGACATTGAGGGTGACCCTTGAATGATAAGGAGGAGTAAGCCTAAAAGAGAAGTAAGCCCTCAATCTGTCTTGGCAGAATTAGCGGATGAATGAAATGGCTGCTTTCCTCCCCAGCCTCGCCGTGGCACGGCTAAGTTCAGCATCACAAGCTCCGTCACTCTATCCAAGGTCCCTCCAGGCCTTATCTGTGCGTCCATGAGCCGTTTTCTTAGCTTCTCTCTTCTGCAGTCAAGGCAAGTAGAGTGTAATAAAGAAAATGGTAAGAGGACAATGACCTTTGGAGACGTTACCACACCAGTGTTTAACTGAGAGCATAGAATATACAGGTAGTGGTTGATATGCTTATAATCTACCATGCATCCAGAAATTTCAAGGGTAAGAGGATTCTGGGAGGCTGACTTCCACCTTGGAGAATTCCAGTTGGCGGAATCAACTTGGTCTCAGCTTGGCGTGACTCCTCACCCGCAAGGCGAGGCCGCTCTTTGGCAGACAGAGCCCTGGAAGCCATGCTCACTGGCTTTGCTATGAAGGGCTGTGGGTCCTTAAGCAAGGGCCAGGTCTCCCCAGGCCTTGTTTTCTCACTGCCGAAGGGGGAGATCCTGCCAGTGATAAATTTACCTCAAAGCCATGTTGTAATAAAGACGGCCTTGAAAGCATTTCGCAAGATTAAATAAAACAACAGCAACAAGTAAACACCTCCTTGAGGAGGTGGGCTTTCCTTACCTGGTGTTTCCTTTCTGGAGAAAGCTCTGTGATCGGAGACTTTAGAGCGGCTCAGAGCTGGGATTGGCTTTCAAGATCTTTTCTGGAAATACTGGGCCCTTTACTTTAAAACAACCTTGCAGGAGGCATCTGTAATGATGATGATAATAATAATAATAACATTTATTGAGTAGTTACTGATGAGCCAGGCACTGTCCTGAGCAATTTAAATGCATTTTAGCACTTCATTCCCACCGCAGCCCATGGAATACATCTATTATTAGCCACACTTTACCCATGAGAAGGGGTGGAGGCATAGAAAACTCAAGCGACTTGCCAAAAGCTATGCAGTTAGAAGGGTCTGTCTGATCCCAAAGACTTTACTCACTACATATGTGAAATATTTTCAGCTTTTCAGAATAAGAGTTCGGGGTTGCTAAGTGACTAAGCATATACAATTAATTATGCCTTCCCTGGAATACAAGAGTGTTAACATTAGCAGAAGTTTATTTTTGCAATTCCTTTGGCCTTCTGGTGTTTCCACATGCCTCCACCCCTTTTCCTAACTGTATTGCTCTCCTGTTGTTTAAAGGGGGGGGGGGGAGTGGGGGCCGGGGGGCGGGAATCTAGTTTCAAACTTGTCCAAATAGAAAATGAATTGCATTTCAACTGGCCAGCGCCGCGGCAAAGGACTGAAGCACAGATGCCAGGCACGTTTGGGGAAAACCTTATGGCAGTGCAGGGGCAGTGCAGGATCTAGGCTATGTTTTATTACCGAGATCTTAAACAATTTTTAAGCGCCCTCTTATTACCTCCCCTCGCCCCCATCCCACCTCATCTACTGGGATGCTAAAGAGAGAAGACGACGTCTCTACCTTCTTGGGATGGAAACAATAGACTTTGCCTGTGCTACTTTTATTTCCCCACTGGGGAATCTGGGAGCTGACCTGATTGAATTCCGCTGGTAGAGGTCATGCTTTGAATTCAAGGCAGAGGAAAAAGCGAAGAAAACATTTTGCAATGATACCCCCCGGGTCCTGAGCACACTGGGGCCTCTCCTCGCTGCATTGTGGTCTGCTGATAAGGATAACGTGGATGACAAGCGGAACATTTCCAGGACAAAGGAAATTCCCCGTTTCATTGTTTAAAGGAAGCCACCGTCCAGCTCAGGAGAACCTGGTTTCAGGCACAGCAGATTTCCCTGCTGGCGGGCAGCAGAGGCAGGCCAGTGAGGCTGGCAATACAGGCTGCCTGTGAGCGCCGTCTGTCCCTAATTTCATCTGGGGCGCACTGGCGTGGTGGGAAGTCAAGAAGGGGTCATTGCAGTTTATGGCATTTCGCAGGGGTTAGAGATGTCGGCATCACGGGCTGGGAGAGTTAAAAGCCTGATTCGTACAATGTGGCCCATTGAAGCATCACAGAAAAAGCACCAGGAGATTTAGAGAAGCTGATCTGGTTTTGAGTTTAAATTCTGGACCTCTTTTTCTCCCCACCCCCTCCGAGCCAAAATGTCAGAAAAGGGCCTGGTTTCCCTTTATGGAGTGCAAAATAAACAGATCTTCAGCAGCAGGAGAGGGGCCCAGCTCCCCAGCCCATAATGCCAGAGCTGGGGTGGGGGGGGGGGCGTGGGGAAAAGTCTTCTGTCTGGTTAGTATTTGGCATTGACTTTCATTTTCTCCAACCTCTGTTTTCTAGAAGCCTGCCTGTACGGGAAGTACAGGAATAAAAGAGAAGCTGATCTTGGGGGTTTTTTTTGCCAGACTTCAAAGGAGGTGGTGGATTTGGGATTTTTGATAGTTTGGGGAGGCATTTGCAAAATTAAAACTGCTTTGGGGAATTGAACCCAGAGACCGGGATCTTAGCTGTGGGCTGGTCCGAGGGCACTGCTCTTCTGCCCGCTGGAACCTGAGCTCGCAGGGCTTGCTGCGGGCCCCTCCCAGCCCCGGGAGTGCACCGAGCCCTGGGCATCGTGGGGTCAGCTGTGGTTAGCCTGGCCACAGGGCCCTGCATTCCTTCTGGGCTTTGCTTGGTTTGGGTGGGTGTGACCACGAGTTTACTCTGGAGAACACTGAGACAAAGAGTCTAAATTGGGCAGGATCTCGAATCTAATGACTTGTTTACAGATCCTGTACTTTTTCCAGGGCCGGGAGGAGGAAGAGGAAAGGGCACACTGGTCAGTGTGGGCATGGCACATTATTGTTTTTCATCCTAAGGAGGTAGAATAGTTTCAGCCAGCAGCGGGGCATCTGCCCGGCAGCCAGTGGGCAAAGTGGCACTCTGTGTAATTTTCCAAGGTGGGGAGGAAGCAGCAGCGGCCTGGGCCTCTGCCCACCGGCTTGGCTTCCGGGGAACGTACCCGCTCCAGGGAGAATGCCCGACCCTGCCACATGAAAGGCCCTGTTTCCTCCCACTGTAACTTCAAGCGGTGGGGGAGATTACCCTCTTCACCCCTGCTCCAAGCGCACCCGGAACCAGGGTGCCCAGCGAAGCCTGTGCACCTGTGATGGGGCAGAGGAGACAACGCAGGGCCCGTGTCAGGAGAGAGGAAGTGCCCAGGAAATTCACTCTCTAAGAGAAAAGCAGGCTCACGAAGGGCTTGCTGTCAGGCGGTGTGTGTGTGATGATTGCTAAGTGTAAGAAACTCCTCTGAAAGCCTATATGCTGCCAATCTGAAGCCTTCTTCCAGCTTCTGACAGTTCTTCTGGGACCCAGAGGTGCTGCTTCCAAGACATGCAGGCTTGGGGTTTATCCCAAAAGGATGGTGTTGGACTGCAGGGAAGGGAGGGAGGAGCCTGCATCCACGTGTGTTCCTTTTAGTTCCCCCACCAACCTGTGAGGTATATATATCGCAACTCCCACCTTGTGATGAGGGAACTGAGGCCCAGAGATGTTAGGTCATTTACTCAAGGCCACACGGCTGCTGAAGGCGTCGTGCCGCATCTGCTCTGCACCCCGTTTGTGCAGGTTTACAAGGCAAGGCAGTGACCCCTGTGTGCCTGTGCTGGGGAGGAGGTGGCCCTAAGATGCAGTCCATCACTTCTCCTGGACTCTTTCAGTCGGGTGTGGCTGAGTTAAAGTCGTGCTTTAAGGGAATGTGCGCCAGTCCACGGGTAGAGGAGTCCGCATCACAAAGCGTGGGGGATTCTTGTTATCCCAAAGCCCTCAGATGTTCCCACAGGGGTATCTAAGGTGGCGCCAGGGATGGTGGGGACGGGTTGTTCCTGGGAGCCTCTGAACAGGGAAGCCTCATCCATGATGGCATCCCCAGAAAACATTCACTCTAAGACATCTAGGGGTGCCTGAGTGGCTCAGTCGTTAAGCGTCTGACTCTTGATTTTGACTCAAGTCACGATCTCACAGCTTGTGGCTTCGCGCCCCGCATCGGGTTCCAGGCGAACGGCGCGCAGACGGCTTGGGATCTTCTCTCTCTCTCCCTCCCTCTCTTTCTGTCCCTTCCCTGCTTGTGCTCTCTCTCTCTCTCTCTCTCTCTCTCTCTCTCTCAAAATAAATAAACAAAAACTTAAAAAAATTTTTAAAAACACACACACAAACTTTAGGACATCTATTAACTCATTTGAGTGCTGAAAGGCAGGCAGGACAGCCATCCTAACCGGAAAAAGGGGACCCGGATGTCGTAGACTGGAGTTCTAATGCCAGCTCCTGCTGTCGACCAGATGTGTGATGCTGAGCAAATCACTTCACTTCTCCTAGTCACAGATTTCGCATCCACGACACGCGGGACTCGCTCCCCACGAGATTCGGGGTACAGAGGCGATTCTCCCCAACCTTCTGAGGCTCCCCAAAGCTGGTGATGCAAAGCACATTTCTGAACACCACCACCTGCCCTTCTTCTTCCAGCCTCGCTGGAATCTGACCAATGGGGAGGCCAGGTCTGCAGGGAAGGAGTAGGTGGCCAGATTCCTTTCCACTTGTTTCCTGCACCTGCAAGAGAACAGAGGCCATTATTTGGATGACTTATTGTTTCGAGCTTTTGTGTGTTTTGCTTTTTTTTTTTTTTTTGTAACTTTACAAAAAGCAACATGAATGCTTTTCAGACTTCAATTGTTCCTCGCTCCTGACTATCCCAGCTCATCACCTTGCAACCGGCCAATCACCGGATACGTCTTCGTGAATTGCAGCATATTTTATTACTTATCGATGCCCTGTGCGGGAGGTGGAGGGTCGGTGAAATGGCAGAAGCTCAGAGCAGCTGAGGGTGGTTGGACTCAGTGGAAAATCCAGAAGTGCAGATGTGGATCCAAATTGGGCTGAAAATCTCATGAGATCAGGCTTTCTCGGACTTCCTGCTTTTAGCCTAAGCAGTGTGTTCAACATAAACGAACTTTCGGTATTTTGAAACTTCCGTTTCTGATCTCAGAACCTGGAAGTCGAGAGCTGTTGTGAACATTTCCACAAATTTTGTCACAGTTGTTCTGGAGGCCGGGTCGAACCCAGTAATTATGGGGCATTAGGACGTACCACAACCAACAGCAGCCTGCCGGGACGGCGACACTAGAGGGAAAGCGGGGCTCTCGGTTAAGAGCTCTGGAGACATGCAGGACTGGGTTCAGATTCTTAGCTCTGCCACTTCTGGCCCTGTGACTTAACCTCTTAGACTCTCAGTTTCCTCATCAGTTAGACGAAGAAAATGTACCATTTCATAATGCCGTGAGGACAAAATGGGGTGTGTGCTCGCACGTTCGATCTGTCCCCTCTTTTCTCATATGTGTGTGTCTGATACGTGCATATATGTACGCGTGCGTGTATACGTGCATCTCTGTGTACATATATACAAAGCATATGCGTCTGTATATATTACTTACTTACAGCTTGAACACGTTCTCCTGGGGACCCGAGGGAGCCAGTGTCTGACAGGTGTGGCATTTGGGAGTTGCTGACATCTTGCTAATTAACTCTCCAGTGGGGCTTTGCACCAAGGCAGCGAGGGCTCTGGGTGCACAAAGCATGAGTTCCCTGGACCTGGAGAGATCTCAGGTGCTCTCCAGCCACAAGTGAGACTCACATTGGCCTTGGGAAGCGGAGCTGCGTTCATCACATCTGCTTGCGCCGCCCTGGCTTCTCTTGCTCTCCTCAAACAAGCCAAAAGTCATGCCCGGCAGACAGGTGCCACAGGGCAGCAAGGGGCTGTTGGAGCCCTGCACGGTCATCGGTCAGAAGGAAGAGAGCTGTGTAGGGATGAGAAAGGAGGGGAGACAGAGAGTCAGGGACAGGATGGTAAGGTCCATCAGAATCCACCCAGCGCCAAGAGAAATGGCTCCCGCAGCACACCTGCCTCAGATGCTACACAGGCTGCTCCTTCTTTTCCTTTTCTGTGTTGTAGCTTAAGTTTTTCTTTTGCTCATCAAATGCATCGTGTCTGTTTTTTAATGTTTTAAATGTTTATTTATTTTTGAGAGACAGAGCATGAGTGGGGGAGGGGTAGAAAGAGGGAGACACAGAATCCGAAACAGGCTCCAGGCTCCGAGCTGTCGGCACAGAGCCCGACGCGGGGCTCGAACTCACAAGAACTGTGAGATCATGACCTGAGCCGAAGTCGGACGTTTCACCGACGGAGCTACCTAGGCGCCCCAAATGCATTATGTCTTTTTGAAGAATTTTTTTTTTTTTAAATAGTGATTTCCAAAGTAATACATCAGCTTTGGATAAACTTTGGAAAATGTGGAAACATCATGAAAGAAAACTACAAAAGCACCCGGAGTCCCACTGTGCGGAAAATAACCAGTTAATGTGTCGGTGTGTTTCCTTATAGTTTCTTTAGTGCAAATATCTAGACATATATGCCTTCTTTTTATATAGCCAGAATCATATTGTTACCAGGTGGCTCAGTTCTTGCCCCAGATGCACCAAAGAATTGGAGACCCAAGATCAGAATGGGGAGAAAGAGTTTATTGAGTAGATAAGTATAGTAGGCTTTTAAAAGGGAAAGCGGGCCATTGCAGGAGCCAGAATGGCCATGGCCCTGAGAAGCTCTCACTGCATCTTTGTAAACCTGTTTCCTGCATATGTACACTATTGTTTTGCAATCTCCTTTTAGTCTCTTACTAAATTGTAGATGTTCCCTGTATGATTAAATACTATTCTACAGTATTACTTAAAAAAAAAATTTTTTTTAATGTTCATTTATTTTTGAGAGAGGGAGAGAGAGAGACAGAGCGTGAGCTGGAGAGGGGTAGAGAGAGAGGGAGACACAGAATCCGAAGCAGGCTCCAGGCTCTGAGCTGCCAGCACAGAGCCCCACGAGGGTCTCGAACTCACGAACCTCGAGATCATGACCTGGGTCATGATTAAGCTGGCGCTTAACCAACTGAGCCACCATCACCACTTCTAACGGATGCACAGTAAATCATTAAATGAGGGTTAAGTGCTGGGCTTTCAGTATATGTTGTTTTGCTTCTCCCCAGTTTCTGGACCTGGGATGGCATTGTTTAACAGGGCTAGACTTACTTCTTTTTGATTTCAATAAAGTATTCTTTCTAGCCTTTAGAAAGAAACCCACATGAAATGCTGAAAAAGGGATGTTAAGAAAAGTCACCGAGTCCCCCTTGAGTCATAAAGCCAGAGGCCGGGGAGGCGGGGCCCGCCTCAGCTCACCTCCCTGGCCTCGCCCCACGGAAGCCCCGCGGAGACCGGATTACAGGCAAACCCAGGACCTGATGTGATAGCACAAAGACACCCACAACTCCGAATTTCCTGCTGCCCCGAGGCCTCTTTTTGCATAGGATGTTTGACTTACACATACGTGGAAAGCAACTACTAAGAATAGAATAAGAGCTGCCTCTTTTCTTCTGTTGTCAGGCTCCTCAGTCACTGCTCAGCAACTCCAGCCTCTGAGGCGGCCGTCTGCCACTCGTCTGCCCCCTCACAGCAAACGGGGTCAGCAGGGCTGGCTGTCAGCAAGAGGCCGGGCCCTTTCGCCCTCTCCGTGTGTGGCAGAGGTTGGGGTGGTAGCCGTCTGAGGGCTCTTTGTCTGGCGAGGGAGCGGGATCTCTGCCGTGGGAGGGAGCCCCCCTGGCCAGCCCCCTGCCCTTCCCCCTCCGGCCAGCCAACTGATTTTCTTCTCCTCCAGCCTCCACTTATCTGAGCTGGCTCAACTCACCTTGAGAGGCTGGAACTTCCCGGCCGCTTTGGGAGAATCAGTCCTTCCCGGTTGAGTGCTGACAAGTTTGCCCACGAGAATTCTCTCTGAGCCCCTCAGGACCATGGCGGCTGACCCCTGCATGATGCCTCGCGAAGCCGGCACGGGCAAGCTTCTTCACGAAGGCCTTGACTCTCATGGTGCCACTTAGCTAATCGTTCGTTCATCCCCTTAGCTATGCACTTAGTGCCTCCCGTTCCGGAGACGGTGTGGTGGTAGTGGTGGGATGGAGAATAAAACAGACAAGATTCCCTGCTGCTGTGGAAGATACAAAGAATTATAAGCAAGCCACTGGAATCAGAGAGTCTGTGGTGGGGGTCTCAGGGGAAACACCCCCTGAGTTACAAAAGACCCTTGATACTTTTCCATGCTGTCTGACGTTAGGATCCTGTCCTTAACCTACCCCCGGCCTCTCTTGAGCCTGGCTCAGCTCACAGCTCTTCTAGGTGCTGAGCTGAAGAGAGACCGATTTCTTTGTGCAAGATCCATTATGGGCGGGAGAGTGAGCCTGGCTCAAGCATACAGCTCCACAGACCCTTGTGGTCAGGGAGTTCCTAAATGAACTCGAACCTTTGGGGGCTGGGATCTGTTTACTCTTGGCACACTGGGATTTCCTGTTTCTAAGAAAATGGGCTTAGATGCTCAGCTGCATTAACCAAACAACATGTTGACGCAAATGAATCTGAAACTTGCCAGCTCCAGACTCCCTAGAAGGTCAACTTTAAGAATGAAGGGATTGAATGACTTTTCAAACCCTGAAGCCAGGTGACCCAGGCCAGGGATTTATTGTGGGGGACCTCCTATCCTACCCTTCTAGTCTAAAACCCCACTGACTAGCTTTGGAGTCAGAGACTTCCTGGTCATCCTGGAGCAGGGAGAGGGTGGGAGGAAGATTTCCTGTGTCCATGGTTAACCTTGGACTCCCATCACCAGTATCCCATCTGCCTGAAATGGTCACCAGTAGCTCGTTTCTTTGAGCCTCCGGGAAGCTCACGTCAAAACGCAAAAGTTACTGGTTGACATGACTCGAGTGGTTGCATTTACTATATGAGCTTAGCTGAGCAAGGTCCTGTGAAGGTAGCAAACCGAGCAAGTTTTCAGGGTGTGGGGGAGGGGAGGAAGAGAAGGCAGAAGAGAATTTATCAAGGGATGCCTTGTAGAGAGGCCCAAGCCAGAGAGGGGAAGGCCCCACTGGAGTACAGGAGGAGGATGTTCAGACAAGGGGCAAAACGGGCTGGAGACACCAACTGGGTGATTGTAGATATCAAAAACCCCTCCTGGCCTACTTGACTACAGTTGGCCTTCACAGTAAGCATTCACTTTCTCGTCTGTGGCCCTGGGGTATAAGCGAGCTCTGCAGGGATATGGCTGCTCAGGCTCCAGGGGACACAGCTCTCTCTACTGGGAAGAGTTCTGCAATTTTTATCAATACTTGAACTGAGAAACTGAGTGCTATGGCTTCCACCGTAAAGTGCAACACTGTGGTTCAAAAATGTGCAAATTATTGGGGATTTATTCCATAACAGAAATTATGCTCATTGAGATGTGGCTAATTAATACCGCTGCATCCAGCAGCTAATCAGAGGAGGTCAAGTTCTCTTGGGGATACCCTGTCTGGAGAGTGATACAGTATGCAGAAAGTCCACCTAGGGACATCTACCACAGTCATTCATTTTGTATTCTGATCATGTATCGAGTGATGGGAACCGTGGGGGGAGTCTCCAGAGAATGGGGAGAAAAGAATATCCATGACAACTGCATACGAGTCCAGAACAACAGTGGAGTAATTAAAGAGAACTGAGGAGAAAGTGAGGGAATCAGGCAGCATAAGGGAGGTAAGCCAAAAAAAAAAAAAAAAAAAAAAAAAAAAAAAAAAAAAAAAAAAAAAAAGAAGGAAAGGAAAATTGTTGTGGGTTTGGACTGGTGTGGGAAGGCTTCATGGATGAGGTATGTTGTGATCCAGGAAGGCTCGTCTTCATGGGTGTCTATATCTTTGGGTAATAAAGGGCCTCCTGAATCAGTATCTTTCCAAATGTTGGAGGCCCAGGAGCATGACGAGCAGCAGTGGCTATGCGTAATTTTACGAAGCTTGTGCACAAGGATCTAGACATTTCAGAAATGGAAATAAAAGAGTTGAATTCCTAGCGCCATATATGGCCTGAGCGTCAGGAGGTGGCTACGTGTGGCAGAGAAGGAAAGAAGGAGGACAGGTAGAGGAAGAGTCCACTGGGGATTCCAAGGGATGGATGAATGGAATCCATTCCGTCTTTCGTTAATTTAATGATCACACATGTACTGAGCACCTACTACTTCTGGGCAGTGTGCAGCATTGAGAATGCCGTGATGCGTGAGACATGGTCCCTGCCTTTGTTAAACTCAGCGTCCCCTGGGGGAAACAGGCATATACGGACACTCAGAGGCTAAAGACCAGGAAGTGCTTTTGCAACATGTACAAAGTGTCACAGGAGACCAACTGAAGGAACAACTAACTGCTGGAAAGAGCTAAGAGGGTTGGGGATGGCTCCCCAGGGTGCAGGTAACAATGGAGCTGATTTCTACAATGACTCGGAATGTACCTGACAGGGTATTCCAGGGAGAGGGAAGCGGCACGAACGGGAACATGAACTTGGGAAAGAGCGTGCCATGTTAGTAAGAGTGCCACAAAAGTTGAGGGAAGCTGGAAACTAGTCAGAATTGACTCGAAGTGACTCTTAAAACACTTTAATGCCAGGCTGTAGAGAATCAGATTTTATGTTGCAGGTGACAGGAAAATCAGTACACGTTTTCATAAGACAGTATGGCAACCAATATTCCATTCAATTCCAAAGAGAACATATCCCAAGCCCTCAAGAGTCTTCCCCTCCCCCCCCCCCCATAAATTTGGTGAGGGGCAAGTGGAGAGAGAGGGTGAGGAGAAACATGACCACAAATAATTCTGATATGAATTTAGAATAGGTTCGTTGTTGTAGGAGAGGCACAAACCAAGGGTTGTGGAAGCAGAGATTCTCAACAGCCCGGCTTGTCTCTGCCCATTCAGGTCGAAGCAGGCCTGATTTGGAGGACCAGCCCTTTCTCATCAACTTCGTAATAGGACCACGATTCTCCCTCCAACCCCCAGGAGAAGTGTTTTCATCAGGGTCCACAGAGAGTTATGGGGTTTAAGTCGGGATGCCAGCATATGAAAAACACGCAAAAGCCCCCCAGAGTAAGCTTGCCAGCTCACCGTCTTGACAGGCCTCCATGCTCTGGCCAGGGGTATGACTCTGGGCTGTGACTCTAGGTTTTCTGTTGGTTTAGATAAAAACTATAATTAGCTGCCACAAATACAGTGAATGTGGGAGGGGCAAGGGGAGACCCGAATGTGAAGTGTTTTCTGGATTCGTTTATTTCTGGCTCTTCGTGTTGCCTCAAGTCTCTGTTCAGCTAAATACAGTTGACGCTTGAACGACACAGGCTTGAACCTTGCGGGCCCACTTATACTCGGATTGTTTACAGCAGGGTGGTATAAACATATTCTCTCTTCCTTATGATTTGCTTAATAATGTTTTCTTTGCTCTAGCTTACTTTATTGTAAGAATACAGTATAGAATGCATATAATGTGCAAAACATGGTGCTAATTGCCTGTTCATGTTATTGTCAAGGCTTCCGGCCAAGAGTAGCTGTTGGGGGGCGCCTGGGTGGCTCAGTCTGTGGAGCGTCCGACTCCGGCTCAGGTCATGATCTCGCGGTTCGTGAGTTCGAGCCCCGCATTGGGCTCTCTGCTGACAGCTCAGAGCCCGGAGCCTGCTTCGGATTCTGTGTCTCTGTCTCTCTCTGCCCCTCCCCTGCTCACACTCTGTCTCTCTCTCTCTCTCAAAAATAAATAAACATGAAAAAAATTAAAAAAAAAAAAAAAAAAGAGTAGCTGTTGGTAGTTAAGTTTTGGGGGAGCCAAAAGCTGGAGGTGGGTTTTCAACAGTACAGGGTTCCACGCCCCCGAGCCCCCACGTTGTTTCAGGGCCAACTATACTTATTTTTCAAATGTAAAGTAACACCCTAGGTGAGCCTGAACTCGATCCTTACAGAATACTCAGGAATTTCATCAGGGTCTCCCCCATCACCTCCCACCGACCTCTCCCCTGTCCCCAGCAAGCACAGGTTGTATGTCCACACCTGTGCACGTCTTTGAGCAGTGCCTCGGAAACTGGCCAGGTCCCCTTTCAGATCACGGCCAAAAATGTCAGCCCCTCACATCTCACCTGTGAGCACAGGCCCCGGGCCCTCTCTGGGGGAAGGAGCACCCTGCATCAAACCCACCCAAAGGTGTCCCAGAGCCCTTCACTCACAGAAGCCTGGCAGAGAAGTCAAAGCAAGGATGTGGCCACCACACAGACCTTTTGCATGTAATACACGATTTACAGACATCTTTCATCCCCTCCTTTTATTTTCTCTCCTTTTCTTTCTCTCTTGCTCTCTGTTTGACTGAGTTGCCCCAGGGCTGGTGGTTTCAAAACTAGCAGCTGCAAACTTATGAAGGAAAAAAAAAAACCCAAACCACAAAAACCCTTCTTGTGAAAACTGTGTGTGCCAGTCTAAAAGCGGCAGGCCATGCGGGAGGGAGGCCTGTTAACGTGTCAGGAGGACAGAAGCATGGAGTGTGAAACAGCAGCAGGGTCTTTATAGGGGGGAGGAATTATACGCGTTCAGGGCAGGGGGGAGTAGGGGACAAGGCAGGAGAGGAGTTTGGGAAGAGGGAGGAGTCCTAGCTGGCCAGGAAAACCCTCAGAGGAATGGCTCCCTGCATCAGCTGAGCTGTCTGAAACAGTCTGGCTTCCCAAATGCAAATCAGACCAGCTGTTACTTCTGGTATCTTCCCGCAGAAGACCCAAGATCCAGCCTCTACTCTAGGTCCACTCAAGGACTTTTGAAGCACATAGTCACATGTGTGACTGTGTCCCAGCTCCTGTCTCAGCCCCGTTCTCCCCAGCAAACACCCACTCGTACTCACCTATGTATTCACACCCTTCAGACCCCACTGATCAAACAGAGAGATAACTCCTCAAACCCAGCCCCAAACTCCTGCTCTATTGCTAATTTCAACAAATAAGTCCATCTAAGGGAGTGGGGAGTAGAAAGGACATGAGGAGAAA